TACCAACAAGTTTTCCAAGAACACCCAGTGGGTTTCCATAGCTAAGTGGGGATTCAAATCATGATCTCCAGAGTTGTAGTCCAACACTCAAACTACATCACTATTATTAGACTAGCTGTTCATCATCAAACTACATCACTATTATTAGTAGCTTCACAGTTTAACAGGCTTTATCATTGATAGTTTTGGATCATACTGTTGAAGAATTTAGAAATTAGTGCGGTATCACTGATTCCAAGCACACTAAGGCACACTTCAAGCACTCCCACATTTTGTAATTGTTTTCTTGTGATCCTATTTATAGAAATTTCCTTCAGATATTTTGCCAGTGCTTTTGGAATTTATCCCAAGGCACCTACCACTATTGGAGCCACAACTGATTGTTTTTTTCCAGAGCTGCTGAACCTCAATTTGTAAGTTTTAGTATTTCAATGTATTAATATTATTGCAATTATAATGATATGGGGGGGGGGGGGAAATAAAGTACCAGAAGTTGCACATGAAGATTTTGCAGTATACATAATATGGCTCCATTACAGAGACATGCTTATAAGCTGCATCCTCAAAACTGTTCTGTATATTGCTGTATATTTCTCAGGAACAGATCTTCTGTCAGTTTCTAATGTCTGTCTTTTACCCAACATGTCTGAGTAAATATAAGCACAGTTAAATACAGAACATAGTGGTGCAAGATATACAAATATACTGTACTCTACAGATGCAAACTGCAGACAAATAATTCAAGAAATGCTCCATAAAAACCTCTCAAATAATTGTAGCACACAGTACACCCAAAGATAGTGATTTGTGGATTCTAGCCAATATTTATATAAAGGTAGTACAATTCCATATACTGAAAGTAGTGTAATTCCAGAGAGCCAGCATGGTATAGTGGTTTGAGTGTTGAGTGTACTCTGGAGAACTGGGTTTGAATCCCCATTCAGCCAAGGAAAACCACTAGGTGACTTTGGGCAAGTCCCACTCTCTCAGCCTCAGAGCAACTTGAACACACACAACAAGAACAGAAAAATTCCATCCAGTATGTATTAAGGGTTGCAATCCAAAAATATATTTTTGAATAATCCATATTATATCTCAACTTGTTCTACAGTTGGTGTCCTTAGCACACTCTTATATGTGATTCATTATAGGAGCAGTTCTATTTGTCTCAAGCCAATGATAAGGAATTACGTAAATCAAACTACTGCTTTATTGGATCAAATAAGCATGAAAAAGAAATGTTTAGACTCCCAACAATTTGGAGACTATGTGTTAACACAGTGGCCTCCAAAGCAAAAGGAACAATCCTGGTTCTAAAAACTGCTCAAAAAGGAAATTGTCCCTTCAACCACCCTTAGACAGTTGGCTGTAACAAAATGGCAATAGTATCCTTCTCATACCAAAAGGTGTTTCAGGTGCTAACTTACCATGGTGTGCTAACCCATGTCAATCTGCCCAGCCTGCACTTCGAGCCAGATATGAGAAAAAGAGAATGTTATTCAAACCAAATTCAAATTCCCTTCACCATTTGAAGTGTATGAAGTGGTGAGGGTCCTTTTAAAAATCCCTACTTAGCCCCAGTAAGACACTGGGTAATCCTATGTTATTTTAGAGAAGGGTTGGTGCTGTGAAATGAGAAAGCAATGGGTATAGTGTCCAAGAGGTATAAACCTCCTGCACAAAACATAGAAAATGCATCTGCTTTGTGAGATCTACTATTTCTTGTGAGTCTTCACTCCTGTGATAAGGGTAGGGGCGAAACAGGCCCCAGAATTATGCCAAAGAACAAGCTTATGAATAGAGGTATAGACGTTTCTGCCTGAGCAGAACATTTTTGGATCAGTTATCGAAAGAAATCAATGGAGATGTCTACTGATATTTTGATATATTGATATCAGCTGGGGAGAGCTCCTAGTTTTTCCCCCTCTGCCACAGAAACACCTAATCTTCAGGGCTGGTAAACCTTTTCAGGTAGTGCCAAAGGTTCAGGGAAAAAGGAGAGAAAGACAGTTCCACCACACTGATGGAAAAGAATGATATTGGCACTTTACTGATGCTACAGTATCAGAGCTCTAAACTCCTCCAGAACCTGGCAGCTCAGTTAGCATGGTACATACCATTTAAGAATTTAAAATGTAAGACAAAGGATTATTGTCTGTTCCACCAATATGCACAGCTCTGTCAAGGCTATGAGCCTTTCAAGATCTGGCTGTGCACCTGCAAAACAGTTTTCCTTTAGACCTCTGGCTGGAGGAAGAGCTAATCCATTTTCATAAGGGGTTGAAGACCTTCCTCTTTGATTTGCCAGATTAAGCTGTTGAGTTGTGCCTGAAGTTGCTGACATGGCTAGTGGTTGGTGAGATGTTAAGGATTTTATGCATATTTATAATTTATAATCGCTTTATCTTTGACTGTACAGCAGCGGTTCTCAAATGGTGGGGCAGCATGCACACACATACCTGGGATGTGTGTGAGAGTTGCTCAAGGGGGGCCATGAAACTTCGAGGCTCTGATCCCTTCTCTTGCTCTTCCTAAACTTTTCTATGCATAAAATTTACAGATATGTTGAGCCAACTATTGAATATACTTAAATAAAGCTGTTATAATTTGAACAATTCTATTTCCTTATAAAATATTACAATATGAATACACATTAATGATGCTTGCAAATTACATAGACAAATTCCATTAATTCAAGGAGAGCTCCATTCTTTCTATAGGCAAGTCTTGGGACTGTGCACATGTGGGCAAGTGATCCCAAGTTTTAAATTGGTGATTCATAGGCACCAATTTAAAATAGAGGGATCCCACATCAAATTAATGGAATGTGTCTATAATTTGCAACCATCAAAAGAGTGAGTTGTCAAAAAGCATGGCATCAAAACATGAGGGTTTCCTGTATAGCAATGATACTCTAACCTTTTACTTTAAGGACCCTCCTTTGCATCTACATGTGGACATCACACCTGCCCCACTCAGTGTAGGATATTAATAAAAATATTTTGTTTATTTACTGTGCATATTTTCATTCACACATTCATGTATATCCCTGCAGATGGAATACACTTACTAGAACAGGGGTAGGAACTGCAACTTTCAGCAGTCCTATCCACCATAAATCAATAGTGAGGAATCCTGGGAGCTACATCTCAACAACTTCTGGAAGATCACACAATTCCCCACCGTACATTAGGAAAACCCCTTTGAACATAGTGGGACAATACCTGTAAGACTGTGTTGCAACAAATTTGTGCTGGCAAAGGATTTCATAGGCTAGTGCCTGCTTCACTTTTGATCCATAAAAATTAATGCTACCATAGACTTTAAGGTGCTGGGGGAGGGGAGTCATCAACTAATTAATGTCAATTAGACTGATTGGTCTGGTCATTTAAGTTGTAGTGTAGGTACATAATTCACAAACAAGTTTTGAAAATTTCTAACCAAGGGGTTTTTTTGTTTTGTTTTTTTGTTTTTTGTAGAAATAAGCCATGGGTTTTTTTGGGGGGGTGGGGTGGGATGCTCTTTGCATCAAATCTATTCCCACACATTGATCAAATGAGTCTCAATATTTTTAGTCACAGTTGAGTTGAAACATGTATGAGGTTAATTATATTTTGGTCTAACATTTCCTTCTAATAAATTCTCATGGCCATGCCGCAGATATCAAAGGTTCAAGACACAGTTTTGGCCAGCAGCCAAACAACAAGTAACTCTGATACTAACCAGTTACATTAACTGATATGGAAACATCTTTGAAATAATAAATTTGTAACAAGAACAACAACAAAAACACACTTATTTTTGTATAAAGAAGACCAACAAAATAAACCCCATATTGGCTCCATCTGAAACATTTTAAAGCTTGACCTTTTGCAGTATTACACTTCTGGTTGTGTGCATCAATTTTACTTCAATTGCTTTGGAAGTTTTTAGAAAGAGATGGCTTTTGGAGTTGAGTTGCCTGTACTTCTAAAAATGTAAGTGTTCCCAAGGACAGCTATTCTCATGCTTGGTAAGTCATCTAGTAATAATCTTCAGAAAAGAAGTAAAATATGTGTCTTTCAAAATTTTATATCTGGCCTTCAGTTGATAAGTCCTGCCAATTGCTGATACCCTAAATAAGCTTGTTATATACCTTCTTTTTTTATTCAGTGAAAAGTTATTTTTGGCCCAGCTCAGAGTACATGTTAGAGAGGGAAGTTCAGAAAAGTAGCATGTGTGCACAAGGAGAGATATACTCATCCCTTCACATTTGCAGCTTTGACTTTTGCAACTTTGATTATTCATGGATTTTATTAATAGATTCGCTCTAGGAATATCTAGGTTCTCCAGCACAACTTTAACCAAAAGTTGCATTGAAGGATCTAGAGATTCCTAGAGAGAACACTCCACTAGGCATTTATAGCTCCTCCAGCGTAATTCTATGGTCAGTGTCTGGCAAATGTTGACCACAGAGTTACATTAGAGGACCTAGAAATTTGCAGGGGGTGTTCTCTCAAGTAAAAACATAGTGTTTTGTTATTTGCAATTTCCCCACATTCACAGGGGTTCTGTGACTGCAATCATTCTACAATGAAAACGGAGTCTCATTTCTGTGATGCCCTTAATAGCAATTCCTTTAACAAAGCATATTGTTGAGAAAAGTCAATGCAAAAGGTTGAACCTGAAGGCTTTAAAACTTTATCACCATTTACATAGTGATTTATTGGTATTCCAATGTAACCATGATATTCTTACCTAATAAGAATAGCTGTAATCTTATGAACACTTGGGTAGAAGTGAATGTCACTGTATATGATGGATCTTACATCTGCTCTGTCTAAGGCTTATATCACAAGGACCCTATGGTATTTCATTTTGGTAGGTGGTGGTGTTATTGTGTGTTCAAATAATTCCTGACTTACAGCAATCCCAAAGCAAACCTATCCTGGGGGTTTGCCTTTGCCTTCCTCTGAGGCTGAGAAAGTGTGACTTGCCTAAAATCACCCAGTAGATTTCCATGACTGAGCAGGGATTTGAATCCTGATTTTCAGAGTTATAGTCCAATGCTATATCCACTACACCATGCTGGCTCTCTAATTTTGATTGAGATATGCCTTAATGCTTGTTGGCATTAAATTACAACAACTAAATTAAACATTTAGTTTAATACAGGTAATACCCAAAGAAATATGGAAGCTCAAGGCAAGATGTTAACTTGTAATTAAAACACAACAACATACTGATTGTTAGTACGATTATACTACATGCCCAGTTTCCATTTCAGGTCATGAGAGGTATATCTATTCCTAAAGAAAGGCAAAGGCACTGAAAAATGTACAGTGCATCCTTGAGGAATGACTGAATTTAAAGAAATAATTGGAATTTGAAGGGGAAAATGTTGCTATACCATTAGATTGGTTCTAGGCTATATCAGTTGGGCATTAGTCCCAGTAGGATCAATGGGATAACTAAGTGATCATGACTAACTAAAGTATGAATAATATAATCTGTGTGTCCACTCCACAACTATTAACATATGATGTGTACCACAAGTAAGGTACTGCTGAACCCAAGTCTCTAGGACAAGTTGGTATATTTGCTTATATTTATTTAAATATAGTGCTTATACACTGTTTTGTAAGCTCAAGTGTTTATTTCTCTATAAAGCTTATCAACCCATTTGATTATGACATTCCTCATATTTCACATTTGGAAAATGGCTAAGTATTCTTTATCAGAATGAATGAAAAAAATATTAATTTGATTCAGAAATTATTTTAATTATTGCTTCCCTGCAATAAGCCACTGCATGCAAGAGGCCATTCTTGTAGCATTTAATATAGCCATGTAACTGAGAGGTATGTTGTCTCAACATGTCAGAAAGTAATGGCAATATTCATATCACATAGCTGATGTTTTTATTCCTTATAATTTTGTTCTGGGAAGATGCTTCCTATATTTTTCTCTGAGCATTGCTTACTAAAATGTAAGAGTGACCTCTAGTGCTTTGTTGCTTCAGTATATTTCCCGGAATCCTATTTTCATGCAGATTTAATATGTCTTTCTATAATCAACTAATTTAGTTTTGAGCATGATACCAAGAGTAATTACTTTGTGATAACAAGAGAAGATCAGCTTGGTCTTATAGAGCAACTGTCAATTTTATGATAGACTATTTTATTAGATCTAAGACTTGAAATCACAAAGCATATGATGACACCACAGTACTTCTATTTTCCTCTATGGCTTAAATGTTCTCAAAGAGCTGATCCTTACCACAGTATTGTAATGTTATTCATGAATTCCTTCTAGTTCCAGCACTCAGTATGTCCAACTACAGTCACTATTAGTTGCATTGTGGAACACACTGCACAGAGAGATTACATCAAAAGAGCTCTGCAAATGTTAAATCATGTATTAGATACCCAATTCAGATATTAATACAAAATTAAGTCTATGGTTTAATGGGGCTTTTGGGACCTGTGAGAGCAATTATCAAGTACATTAAAATGAACAAAGCCAAACATTAGTGCATATATATATATACACACACACAGAGTATATACCCCCCAAAAAAGCCTGATCTGAGTCAGTGTTAGAAACTGTTTACCCACATCGATCACAACTATCTGATTTCCAAGATACTCTCCTTAAGTTCTAGAATCACATTCTGCTGTTCCTTACAATTCTAAGGTAATGGTTTCCCTATCAGTGGAGGATATATATTCATATAAATATATAGGTACATAAGTCTCCATATAAGCAGCCTTTGAAATACTGCTGTTGAACTCTACTGCCTGGACACACATGAATGTTGCTTGTACTAAAATCAATGAATATGCCATAAAACCCCATTCTCAACATTTACTCCTCATTACAGTTGCTTTGCTCTTGTGCTCTACAGCACAGTATACCAGAGTTACTTTTAATTTAAGAGATAGAGATGGATACCTGTCTGCAAAATTCTACATCTCTTAAAGCAAAGCTCTTAAAGTCCAAGGTGATGCAGCAGAGAATATCAGCAAACTGGTAATCCTCATGAAAGGCTTAACTCCTTGCAAAATACTGTTGTGCTTCTATATAGCAAGCTTCCCCATAGAAAAGGGGGAACGAAATACAGCATACATTCAACTGGCAAAATGTGAATTTCCAGTTATTTTGGATCCTAGCTTAGTTGTCAGTGTTCAGATTGCTACCTGGTTTTAAAAATAAATGAGAAATATGTGAAAGGACACATTTCAGCCTCTCAAACATTTTCATCCCATCTACTGGCCACTAAGATTTTAGCAGAACAGATTTACTAGAAGAGCTATGTTTCTAAGTCTGAATCTCATTACACTAAGTTTTTTTTTTGTTTCCTCATAGAACAATCTGATCTAAGTTTGAATATCAATTGGTAATACTTACATTTGTTTCCTGCTGCTAATATATTCCAGTGATAAAAAGGGACCAGAAACAGCAGCTTGAAGAAGATTGTAGTGAAAGAATCCATGTCCTCATTGACTGAGGCACCCAGAAGTGGCAGAGTATTAGCAAACAAGCACAGCTGCTCTGCACTTCAGTTCTGTTCCTGCTTCCTCTGCTCTCCTTCTCTTTCTTACTCTCTGTCTGCCTCTCAGTGCTTTTGAGTAGCCAAATAGCTCAGCCAAATGCACTGTGCATCTTCTCATACACGAGCACACACACAGATGGAGAGCACAAGATCTGCTCTTTCCCCCCTAACAACAGCAATCCCTGAAGAGCAGCTGCAAGGATCTCTCCTCTAATTTCACAGAATCACTCAAAGCTAAACTGCAAGACTACCTTGTACAGTTTGGTTACTGAAGCTTCACGTTCATAATGTGTCCTGGACACCCCTTGTGGTGACAGGTAGGAAATGAAAGTCTACGATGAAATCCAGACAATAAAGAGAACAGCCTGCACATGTGTGCCAGTACAGCCTCCCCACTGGATTATGACTGCTCCCAATTCTTTATGGTCATGCAAGGGGAAGGGAAACAGAAGAAGAAGGAGAGCAGAAGGAAGGGGGAACATATTACATTTGCTTTCATTCTGACCACCCCTTTCCCATTCAGTTTGTAATTAGAGATAACTTCTCAGCTGCTAGAATATTCACAAAGGGTGATGAAAATGTTGCAATTTTATATCAGAAATTGCTATCATGCAACAAAACTGTATTTTTCCATTATATATGCAGTAAATCTTGCATTCAGCCATAGAATACCACATTAATCTTCAACTGGTGCCACAAGATGTTCCCCTGAGAGCAATTATTTAATAAGATATGGAGTGTCTAAATTTCTATGAATTGTAATCCCACAGATATGTAATGGGCCACTTCAGAAGCTCAGTCTTGCCGTTTATTTTTCACATTCAGAGTATAATCACAAACATAAAGGAGAAGGATGGAATGACTTTGAACTAATGTAATGGATGTTATCTTGCAGCAGTATTAAAGGGCTATTCCATGGAATTTTGAGTTTTAAGTTCTATAAGGAAGTGTTTGCAAATCAAACACATAGATTGGTAACTTATACTGGTAAATGTGACAATACTTGAACACAAAAAATAGGAGGGTCCCTCTTTGTTTGGAGCTAGATCTCCTTGGTTTCAAACATCAAATTCCTAGCACTGTTGGAAATGTAGGATTATATCATTACATCATTATTTCCAAGTGTCCCTATTTTGTAAAACAGATTTATATTAAACCATGACTAAAATGGAATAGCCAGAGAGATATACTACAGCACTATTTTCCACTGGAGGGTTGTATACTGATCCTATTCATGTTTCTGAAAAATTGATGTCACTTGGGTCCGTGGTATCTATTCTCCATTATATGCTTTCTGACATGTTAAAAAACACTATTGCTATGTTTAAGTTCTGAGTAATATAATTTACAATTAAATGGTTTATAGTTGATGCCAAAAAGGATGGGTGAAGGGACCAAAACAACAAATTGAAAAAGATGGATAAAAGATTTTAGTAGGTGAAGGAAAGCAAGGATGTATCTCAGACTTCCACTGGTTTTTTCTTCCATCATGGTTTTGCATCAGACTCTGAAACTTTTCCCCATCACATATGGAAATTCAAGCATAATAATAATAATAATTTTTATTTATAACCCACCCCTCTGCTATATATGATTTTTGCAACCAGAATTTCTGACCCTTTACCCTTCTGCAATGTATCAGAAGACCTAGAATGGTGCCTATCTATATTTCTATATTATATTTTATAGTTCTATCTATAAAACTGAACCCAATCCATTTTCCATCCCTAAAAATATTGATTTGTTTTCCAGTGGCCAGGTCTCCTTGGGTTGGCAAAGTTTTAATTTAAGTCAATTTTGATTTCAAGAATATAGAGGACTAAATCTCACCAAGAACAGTATAATTAAACTGGATATTTTTTTTCCCTAGTGACAGTGAACATTTGTAAATTGCCATAAAATACCTCTATGTCATGACATGTATTTGCACTTTTAATAATGAAAAAACATATATTTAGCTGCATAGTTTCCTTCCAAAAAAAGCTATTATTGACTCACTAAGGAAATAAGACGACCAGACCAAAAAAAAAAAAAAAAACTGGTTTATAAATGGGCAACTTTATTTAAATTCTCTATTTAACTGTTTCTTTCTTGAGATCTGAAAAATGGGGGGAGTAACCTAGTGTGGGAGCAGCTGGGCAGGTAGTAAATTCCTAGACAAACTCCCCAGCCTCCCCTGGACAAAACTCCTGAGCCCCATGGGCAACCCAGCACTAGGTTGCTCCCTGGCCAGCCTGCATCTAGAATGCAAACCCAAGATCCCCTCACTTAACTCATAAAACCTAAATGAGGGTCGATATCTCAGGCCAGCCCCAAGGCAAGTCTCTTTTTCCATCCCTTTACTCACAAGACATAGAGTTAGCTCCACCAACCTAACCTTCACCAAAGAGGGCACCATAGGTGTTCTCCTAACTGTTATGTCTCCCCTCACTATCTAACAGTGACACCTATTTATGACCACACCTCAGCCAATTGTCTGAGTCTCCAAACAGCACTGCGGGGTAGGCAGAAAAACCCTTGGAAAGGGGAGAAAATTCC